TCAACTGTAGCCAGTCTATTATTACAAGCAATTGAAAGCATCTGACACAAGGAAAGGAAAATGAAGGGGGGTGGGGGTGGGGAGGAGGTCAAAGAAAGTCAATTTGGCCTGCACGTGCTTAGCAAATACTAAAAGGGGAGAAAAAGGAGTGTCTGTTTTGATTGTGACAAGGACTAGAATAAAGCAAGAGGCAGAAGTATTTATTAAAATGTCCGCTCTCTTCAAAACCTCCTAAGTAAATAATTTCACCAGTTTTCCTCAAATAGATATGAACTTGGTTTTTTTCCCAGGTTCTCAAACCTGTCCTTCAACATAGAGTTTAGATTTTCTTGAGCAGATACTAAATTATATATATACACACACATTTTAAAAGGCCTGATTTCTAGTTTCTCAAAAAACTGAAACACGTGGCAAGGATGGACATCCGATCTTCTGTCCTCTACCCCTTTCTCCCCTCTCTTCTCCTGTCCTCCGCTTTGCCCCCCTCTTTTCTGTGGTGGGGAAAGCTTCTACCCCACTTTCTCTCCCCTCTCCTGGCTTTCTCTCACAGTCTCTCTCCTGTTCTCTCTTTAAAAACCTGAGTCCCTCTTATTTATTTAGACTTCCTGCCTGGCCCCGTTGACTCATGAATTTTTTACCCCAGACCATGAGGCGGATAGTGTCTTTGTTTGGATTTCCTTTATTTACACTACATTTTAAAAGGTTTTCCTGCTTCTGAGTTTCTGTCTTAATGTCAATATAATATGACCACCTTAATAGTAAAATACTAGGAAGACAGATTTTATTTAAACATATTTTGGTGATGTAAACAGAGAATGCCTTTGCTCTGTGTAAATAGAACAAAGACATTAGAATTGTGAATGGAAAATATATATACTAATAAAAAAATTAGCAAATTTCACCAAATTCAGAAATCCATTCAAATGAATCTGTAGATAAGAGAACCTGATTTTATTAAGCTTCTAACTTGGAGGAACTCATTTTACAGTGACAGAGCATAATAAACTAGTTTTTTTTTTTTTAAGGGTATGCTTATGTAATTGAATATTGCACCAGTTACATGGTGGGGCTATCAGTACCACAAATGAAGTCCCTGGTTGTAGATCAGGACCTCCTAAATTTGGAATCACTTTGGATGCCTTAAAAGAAAAAAAAGTCTAACTCCACTCCAACAGTTTAGGATTTAATTGGCGTGCAGTGTGACCTGGACATTGGGATTTTAAAGCTTCCCAGGTGCTTCTAAAATGTGAGAAAATTTTAGAAGCACCGCTGTAGCTGTTGCTTTTGCTATAACTAAATCTTAGTGCTACTGCTTCATAAAGCCAGTCTTATTGGTTGAAAATAAAATCATCGGCATATTCCCAAAGCTGAAGGGAGAGGCAACTCCTCCCAAAAGGTGCAATATGTCACTAAACTCAGATCTGAGAGAACAGCCGGCCACAGGGCTAATCTTTTTACCCCAAAGGAACTAACTGATCCAGCAAGATAATTTCCACAGCCCTACCGAGACTCTGACAAGTTAGTTCCTGAACTGAGCCTTGCTATCCCCATTTGTAAAACGGAAACAGTAGTACCTTCTTTTGAAGGTTGTTCTAAAGATAAATAAGATCACGTATGTGAAGTAATATTTGGTTCTTAATAAATAGTAACTATTTTGAAAAATTCAATATTAGTGATTTTTGTTGTTCCCCAAAGCCATCGCCAACAATTCTAGCTAGTATTAATCTCGCCTCCCTTACGTTACAAAGCACAACAATTTCAAATGATTTTGTATTGCTCTACAGTTGTTCAGTGAATGTGGTCTTACTGGCTAGACAAGAATTATTTGCAAGAAAGGGAAATTAAACTGATCATTTAACAGCAATGATAAAACCCGTGTGCTTCTCACACAATTGAATACAGCATGTTAAGTTGAGAGACTTGGCCCTAAAGTTGTTAGAGGAAACGGGCCATGACTTGTAAGGTGGTGTCCAGGCCCCCAGTGAGTCAGGAGATGGGAGGAAACTGTGGATCCACATTTTCCTTCTCAAAGGCAGACTAACCCGTATTGTGTGTATTACTTTTTTGCTGCAGCTGTAACAAATTACCAGAAACTTGGTGTCACAAATTCATATCACAGTTCTGTATGTTATGAAAGGTAACAGAATATGGCTCCCCCAAATAAGCTACTGTGGCATATTGATTCTTTTGAGCTGTAGGCACTTGCAAAACAGCAAAGGCAGGGAGAGGCTTTTTTCTGATCTCCCCTTATCTGCCTAAAGACAGAACCTCCAAAAGGAACTCAACTGGGATAAATTCCCCTCCCCAAGAGTTTCCTTAGCCGGGGAGGAGACTAGTGGCTGACATCACACCCAGACAGACTTTGTCACAAATGTCCTGTCTCCCATCTGTACTCCCAAGGGCCTATTTATCTTTCATAAGAATTCTTTGCTCTCCCCTAGGAGGTATACACCCCCAGCTCCCCTTTCCCTACTAAGATGGTATTTAATCCTGAATCGTAAAGCTACCTCTTTTAATTACTCATCTTCCTGGCTATTTTCTGAGTTATGTGAATGCTAAGTCACTTCATTACCTGCCACCTGACCTGCCTCCTCAGAAATCTGTATGCAGGTCAAGAAGCAACAGTTAGAACTGGACATGGAACAGACTGGTTCCAAATCGGGAAAGGAGAACGTCAAGGCTGTATATTGTCACCCTGCTTATTTAACTTATATGCAGAGTATATCATGCAAAATGCTGGGCTGGATGAAGCACAAACTGAAATCAAGATTGCCGGGAGAAATATCAATAACCTCAGATATGCAGATGATACCACCCATACGGCAGAAAGTGAAGAACTAAGAGCTTCTTGATGAAAGTGAAAGAGGAGAATGAAGAAGTTGGCTTAAGATCATAGCATCTGGTCCCATCACTTAATGGCAAATAGATGGGGAAACAATGGAAACGGTGAGAGACTTTATTTTTGGGGGGCTCCAAAATCACTGCAGATGGTGATTGCAGCTTTGAAATTCAAAGACGCTTGCTCCTTGGAAGAAAAGCTATGGCCAATCTAGAGAGCATGTTAAAAAGCAGAGACACTACTTTGCCAACAATGGTCCGTCTAGTCAAGACTATAGTTTTTCCAGTAGTCATGTATGGATGTGAGAGTTGGACTAGAAAAGAAAAGCTGAGCGCCGAAGAATTGATGCTTTTGAACTGTGGTGTTGGAGAAGACTCTTGAGAGTCCCTTGGACTGCAAGGAGATCCAACCAGTCCACCCTAAAGGAGATCAGTCCTGGGTGTTCATTGGAAGGACTGATGCTGAAGCTGAAAATCCAATAGTCTGGCCACCTGATTCGAAGAACTGACTCAATGGAAAAGACCCTGATGCTGGGAAAGATTGAGGATAGGAGGATAGGGGGATCACAGAGGATAAGATGGTGGGATGGCATCACTGACCGGATGGACATGAGTTTGTGCAAGCTCTGGGAGTTTGTGATGGACAGGGAAGCCTGGCGTGCTGTAGTCTGTGGGGTGGCAAAGAGTTGGACGCGACCAGTGACTGAACTGACTGAAGTCTCTTCAGTCATGTCTGACTGTCTGATGCTACGGACTGTAGCCTGCCAGGCTCCTCTGTCAGTGGGATTTTTCAGGCAGGAATACTGAGTGGGTTGCAATGCCCTTCACCAGGAGATCTTCCCAACCCTGGGACTGAACCCACATCTCCTGTGTACTGGCAGACAGGTTCTTTACCACTAGTGCCAATTGGGAAGCCCATCTCCTGAGGTATACATGATAATAAACGTCTGCTTGTTTTTCTCCTGTTAATGTCTTTTATTACAGGAGGGCTCAGCCAAGAACTCTCAGAAAGTTAGAGGAAAAATCATTTTTTCTTCTCTACAGTTAGAAATAGGACATGGATCCCACCTATTTAAGAGCAAGGTGCTGGCAGGACACGTTCCTTTCTGGGAACTCAAGAGGGACCTCCTTTGCCTTGTCTTTTCCAGTTTCTCGAGTCCGCTTTCCTTCACTCTCGGCTCCCTTTCTGCTTTTTCAAAGCTGACAAAGTGAAGCAGCGTCCTTCGCCACGCAGCTGATTCTCTGGTTCTCATTTCCAGAGCCGCAGCTCTGCCTTTGTCTCCACTCTTCTCTTACGCTCTGAAGGACGCTTGTGATTAAAATGGGCCCACCAGGATATAATTCACAGTGCACTCCCTACTTGAAGGCTAGCTGATTAGTGATTTATTCCATCTGCCCCTCTGCCATGTAACAAACATTCACATGGCAGTGGCTATGGGAAGAGGTGTCTAACTAGATTGCCAGATAGGTTGAAATCAGTAATCATTTTATCACTCCATTTAGTCAAATGTGACTGTTATCCCAGTTCTCAGGGTTAGGAGGTAGACCTCTTTGGGGAGCACTGTTCTGCCTGTCCCATTTAGAACTCATCCCAAGGAGTTAATTAGGACCAAGAGTTTATGAAGAAGTAGGTCCTGGTACAAGATGGGTTCCATGACAGTAACCGACAAAGTCGTTTCGCTGACAGGACAATCAGACCCCTTCTCCTCTATACCTGATCCATGGCAGACGTTGCTAAGCATACTCTCAGGATCCTTCTCCACACAGCATAATAGGTAATCACCAGTACAGTCAATCAGACTTGGCAAGCAAACTTAAATCTATTTTCCATACTAAAACTGAACAAACGTAGTGGAAACAGACTTTCTCTCGGGGCCTTTTTTGGTATAACTTGCTGATCTGATGTTTTTAAATTGGCAGACAAAAGGAGTCCCAGCTGGCCTAAATAAAGAGATCATAATATGACAGTAAAATAAATGGAATAATTTATTCAATCCTTGACAGAAGTCTCTTTCTATGATACTTTGTAGAGCACCCAAATAGTAACTAAGAAAGTCTGCATTTATTACTGGCCCTGCCCACACAATGCAAAGCCTTCTCTTGAGATATTTTTGATAATTTTTTTCCAAGAGGATATTTTGCTTAGATAAATATTTGACTGTATGCTTATATGTAGATATTTGAAAGCTTTTAGTATTTCTAAAGTAGAACATTATGATCTTTTACATGCAATCCATAATTGTGGTAGTGAATTTTGGAAAAACAAAGAAGAAATAAAAAAGGAAAACCACACAGAATTCTGTCAGAAGTACAGTCTGGTTCTCATTCTGCCAGATATGTTTACATTCATTTATTCACTCAACATATTTTCATTGAGCCTTTGTGCCACGCACCATTCTAGGCTTTGTTGTTGTTCAGTTTCTCAGTCGTGTCCAGCTCTTTGCAACCACATGGACTGCAGCACGCCAGGCCTCCCGCCTCTCACCATCTCCCGGAGTTTGCCCAAATTCATGTCCACTGAATCAGGGAAGCCATCCAGCCATCTCATCCTCTGTCGTCCCCTTCTACTCCCGCCCTCAATCTTTCCCAGCATCAGCGTCTTTTTCCAATGAGTCAGCTCTTCACATCAGGTGGCCCAAGTATTGGAGCTTCAGCATCAGTCTTTCCAATGAGTATTCAGGGTTGATTTCCCTTAGGATTGACTGGTTGGATCTCCTTGCAGTCCAAGGGACTCTCAAGAGTCTTCTCCAGAACCACAATTGAAAGCATCAGTTCTTCAGTGTTCAGTCTTCTTTATGATCCAACTCTCACATCCATACATGACTACTAGAAAAACCATAGCTTTGTCTATATGGACCTTTAAGTGTATATTATGGAAAAAAAAATAAACAGACAAAAATCTATTCCCTCAATGAACTCAGTTATGTACAGAGAAAAAAAAATTACCCCAAAAATGATACTATATTTTTCAAATTGTTTGTAACTCACTTTTTTGATATGCTAGTTTTTTTTTTCTTTAAATGATTCCTCTAATTTTGTCAGGCTTTTGTAGTTTTCCCAACAGTCTTGATCGCTCCGAGAGACAGGATGATTGTGGATTGCTACATAATTGGCAGTTCAGTGTTCGATCTTGACTCCTCCTTCTAAGATGTGATGCTATGTGATCAGGAAGAAACCTCCCACAAAGAGAATTCTGGGAAACCGTACACCACAAAAGATGACCTAGGGAACTGAAGAGAACTTCATTCTATCTGCTTCCAGTCATCCATTGTTGTACTGTGTGTCTTCCTAAAGCTTAGCAGCTTAAGAGAACAGTGATCATTTTACTATTAACTCACAGTTCTCAAGATTTACTCAACCCAAGGGGCAAGTTCCCCCTCTCGGAACTTGTTTTTCATGCAGCCTGACAATTCTGGGTACTGGAGTCACCTTCTATGTTTCTCCACTCACACGGCCCACTGCTTATGGCCGTTGGCTAGGACGTCAGCCAAAGCTGTGGTCTGGAGCACCGTGTGGCCTGCCTTCTTTGAACAAAGTGGTTGGAACACTAGGTGGAAGCTGTAGCATAGCCTTCTATGAGGTAGCCTCAAAAGTCACATAGGGTCACTTCCCCCATAGTTACAGTCCCATCAAATTCAAGAAGAAATAGAGATGCCATTTCTTAACAGGAGGAGCATCAGCATCACATTGTAAGGGGTGGATTGTGGTGAGCATCTTTGGAGAATGCAATCTGCCACAGGTCTCAAACACCTTACACTGTTCACCCGTATGATTAAAATCAGGGAGAGCAAACTTCCAGGATCACTATAAGTTTAAGAAGAAAAGTTCTATCACTATCAAGACTCTCTAAAAAATGCAACTCAAAGATTCATTTTAGTAAAAAAAAAAAAATTCCAATAATTGAATAACCAACTAGTCTACTGTTCCCTACATTTATCTTATGGATCCCACTTAAGAGTATCGCTATGTGTGTGCTAAGTTGCTTCAGTCATAACCGAATCTTTGCAACCCTATGGACTGTAGCCTGCCAGGCTCCATAGGATTTTCCTGGCAAGAATAAAAGTAGATTGCCATTTCCTTCTCCATTAAGAGTATTAATTGATGATAAAATGACTTGATCAGATTTTTTTGTCTTTAATTTACAAAACTCACCTTGAGATAGTGACACATAGAGAAATAATCTTTCCTATGTATGAAGCATGGAAAGAACTGTGAGCTAAATTTGTCATCCATGGCTATTAGAATTATAAAGTAAGTTAATTTAAGGAAGCTGTTAAATGGGTTCCAGACATCTTTGGGATCTCCATGTACATCACTGTGAAGAGATAAACACAATTAAATCAATCAGATTACTCTTACCTAAAAAGCCAGATAAGAATTTAGAGAAATAATACTTGGTAAAACAACCATTTACAATAGCCCAAGACATGAAACGTCTACTAACAGAGGAAAAGATAAAGATGATGTGGTGCACGCTAAGTTACTTCATTCATGTCCGACTCTTTGTGACCCTATGCACCATAGCCCACCAGGCTCCTCTGTCCATGGGATTTTCCTGACAAGAATACTGGAGAGGGTTGCCGTGCTCTCCTCCAAGGAATCTTCCCAACCCAGGGATCGAACCTGCGTCTCTTAAGTCTCCTGAATTGGCTGGCAGGTAGGTTCTTTACCACTAGTGCCACCTAGGAAGACCATATATATCTATATATTATGGAATTTCACTTAGCCATTCAGTTCAGTCACTCAGTCATGTCCAACTCTTTGCAACCCCATGGACTGCAGCATGAAAGAATGAAATATTGCCATTTGCAGCCACATGGATGGGCCTAGAAATTAGCATACTAAGTGAAGTAAGGCAGAAAGAGAAAGAAAATATGATATCACTTATATGTGGAATCTAAAAAAGATACAAAACAGAAATAGACCCAGAGACAGAGAAAACAAACTTATGATTACCAAAGAGGAAGGGGGAGAGGGATAAATTAGGAGATTGGGATTAACAGATATACACATTAGTAGATACAAACAGATAATCAACAAGGACCTGATATATAGCACAGGGAACTCTACTCAGTATTTTGTGATAATCTATATGGGAAAAGAATCTGAAAAAGAATATATACGTGTATAACTGGATCACTGTGCTATACACCTGAAACTAACATGACATTGTAAATCAACTATACTTCAATATATAAAGAAAGGAAAAAGTAAAGAAAAATACTTGCTAAAATGAATCAATGTTTTACCCTATTATTTCAATTCTTAATGATATATCTGGTTCAAATACTATGTACTCATGTCATACTAGCTATTTAGGAAATAAAGTAATATTAAAATAATCAATACTCTGTAAGTTTAATAGTACAAATAAAATCCTATTATAGTAAATACCATTATGAAGAAGTATACTCTAGAGCAGGTATTTATACTATAATACTATAGTAGACCATCCACTACATCACTGCACTATTGATCTAATCTCAACACACTTTTCCTGTTGCTTAGCCAAAAGAGTTACTTTACAGGTTCATAATTGATTCCTGTGGAGGGAAGAATCAAGCTGGATGGTAGCTAATGCCACTCATTTCTTTTGTCCGGATGTCAAGAAGCACTGACTTCTTTCCATGTTGTATGAATTCTCAAATCCTCACTCTAAAAGTCAACATAAAGAAGGAAACATGCTTTCTTTCTGAGTTCAGTCCTTTTTCCCTATTAATTCACCACAGTGAATATTTTTTTTTATGATTTTACTTATTTATTTATGGTTGTGCTGGATTTTTGTTGCTCAGAAGTTTCAGCCCCCGGGTTCTAGAACACAGGCTCAACAGTTGCAGAACACAGACTTAGTTGCTCAGTGGCATGTAGGATCTTTCCAGATCAGGGATTCAATCTGTGTCCCCTGCATTGGCAGGCAGATTCTTTACCACTGAGCCACCAGGGAAGCCCCACAATGAATATTAATTGTTTCTTTCAAATCTGTTTCTAATCGTGAGTTCCTTAAAACTGAAGTTCTTGTTTTAAATTTTGTTTATTCTCTAGAGGGCATCAGAATGCAGGTTGACCCCTGTGATCTCCAAGAACATTCTGCCTTAATTAGTTGATAAAATCAGCCTAAGAAATCTGAGATTTTGTGCATGATGTGCTCAACTTTATGAACTTAATGGGCCATTTCACTTAACAAGGTGGAAAAAGATGAGAGAAAACTGTCACAAACTAGCAAAGTCTTGTCCTCTATCGTTTTTTGGTTCAGAGGTTTGGGTTTAGCTTGGGTTTGGTCTTGCTGGTTAAAGTACCGTTCTCACGCATACCAGGAGCTTGTTCACCAACACTGCCCTGACAAAGATACCTGGGCCAAAACCCTATTTTCCTGGAATCGCAGCCTTTTCTCCCCATCACTAAAGATGGTTTAGGGAACTCACACCACCCAGGTATCTTTCCAGGAAACTCCATTTCTTTCTTGAATCATACACTTACACAAGGAGAGGAAATGATGAAAAAGTTTTCTTTCTGTTCTCAGAATAGACTGATTGTTTCTGTGGGTCCATGTGTGGGGACTGGAATCCCTTGTGGGCTTTCTAGGGTCTTTAGTGAATAGTCTTTGTCTTTTATTATTTAGAATTTCAAATGATCTAGAAGAGTTCATGAAGCTTGAGTTGTTTGATACTGTAACTACCATAGTACCAGTTGTTTTCCTCCAGATACTGCAAATGTATAAACTACATGATAATCATATATTAACCACTTTTTTATACGTCTGCTTAGGCCTTCTTAAGTCACAGAAGCATAATGGTTTGGTAAGACAAGAGTCATCGTTTCTTTTGATGATATAAAATAGGGGAGAAGAAAGAATATTAGTTAGATTGATTCATTCCCAGTTTTCCAAATCTGTCATAAGTATCAAGGTTTCACTTCATAGTCATTCAATACTTATATCTCGGAAATCAATTTCTAAAACCAGAGTAAATTAGTCTTTTCATGATGGGCCTTACTCTGGTTTGACTTCATATTTTTCCCCACATTTTGTTCATTTACTCTGCCAACATTCATGAAGTACCTAATATGTTCCAAGCCTTGTGCGTTAGGCTGGGAGCTGAAGACAAGTGAAACAAGAAAACAAAATTCCTGGTCCTCAGAGAGTTTAAAATTTAGCAGGGAAACTGACGATAACCAGTCACAAGACAATGGGTTTATACAGGATGCACTTAAAGAATGGCTTATGCAACAAACGTTCCAGACACCCTACAAAGTGGTAGGCATAGAACAGGTAACAACAACAACAAAGACACAAACTCTGTCTCTACGAACTTTAGTCATGGAGATAGGCCTGAATCAGACGTAACACAGATATAAGTCGAATATTATAAAATTTAGAACCCTTTCAACTCTAAGTAGCCAAAAACCCAGCTCGCACTGGCATAAGCAAAAAAAGGGTGTTTATGGATTCATGTAATATACTAACCAAGGGCTAGTCGAGGTGGGGATTGGTATAGAGGTACCTGGTACCTCGCCTTATTTCAGCCCTGCTTTTATCTGTGCTTGGGTTCATCCTCACACTGAAATCCACCAGTAACAGAAGAGTGTTTCTCTTCTTCCAGAAGTACCTTGGGCG